TAGATATATATATATATATATCAACGTTTTTTGCTTTTTTTTTCTATCTCTTTCCACATGTTAAAACAGAGGAAAAATTAAAGAATAAAATAATTTTTTTATTCAGGTGTTATAATTTTTGGATCAGATCAGGAAGTAGCAGGAGTCATGAGAGCCGTTGGACGCAACAACTGCACTGGTACCTTTTCATGGATCGGCAGTGATGGCTGGAGTGCTCGTGCGTTAGTGTTTGATGGCAATGAACGCGAAGTTGAAGGAACCATATCAGTCCAACCACGAGCACACCCAGTTATTGGATTCGAACAATACTTTCAACGACTCACAGTGAGCAACAATCAAAGAAATCCTTGGTTTACGGAGTTCTGGGAACACTTCTTCAGCTGTAAGTGGGCAGGAAGCATGGTGACACCATACAACAATTTTACGAGCATTTGCATGGGGAATGAGACAATTTCTCCTGAAAATGGATACGAATCAGAGAAGCAACTGCAGTTTGTTAGCGACTCAGTGTTGGCATTTGCTTACGCTTTGAAGAACATGCATTCTGATTTGTGTGGTGGCATTGCAGGACTGTGTGCAAAAATGGATCCTATTGATGGTGCAGTACTTCGAAATTACTTGAAAAATGTATCATTTAGGGGTAATAATTATCATTTCTTTTATATTTGATGTATAGTTATATTTATTCACGATAAGTACTTTTAGAATTCTTGTGCATGAACAAATAAGCTTGTTTTGATGGCTTTAATTCTACCTTTGTCACAATTGGCATCGATGATGATTCTGCAGATCTTGATAATAGTTTTATTTTTTCTTACTTTATAAACGGAGATAACATTTCGAACAAGTATACAATGCTTTCTAGATATTACCGTATTTGTGTTCTTAATTCTAAGAGTCTTTTTTTTCTTAGTAAGTCTCTTTATATTTTATTCCTCTATCCGGAGATTCTAGGTCTGCCAATATGTGCTTCTAATTTGTTTCCGCAAATAAACAATTATTTATTCTAAAATAATTTTTCACACAATATATGTTTCTTAATTTTATATTAAAACCTTATCCTGGTTTTTTAGTGTTCCTCATCCGTGAAATCCATTTTTACCGAAAAATATGATACCTTAATTTTTACAGTATTATGTATTTAAATTAGACTGATTCAATGATTTTATGGTAATTATTACTTTTAAAATCACTGTATATCAGATTTTTTGCTCCCTAATATGTTCCGGTAGAAATAGATTGTGCTGCAAAAAAAGTACTTTTTACCATTGTTTTATTCGGAGTTTCTTACAATGAATATAAACGAGTATTTTTCTGTAAAAATGCTTCTAATAGCGTAATAAAGCACATTTTCATTTGCGTTAGCGAGTTAAAAAAATGTGTTGAAAATAGTTATACGTATATAATAATATTTTAGTATTCAACAATTTCAAATCAAAGCTAAAATTAATGTTTGAGTTTAATAATGTATGAGTTCCTACTAATTTAACTAACTAAAAAGAAATTTAATTGTTTGTAAATTAAAGAGATATTATATCTAACCAAATTATTTAAGCAAAAATTAATTATTGCTAGTTATAAACATCCATTAGTAAACCTTGATTAAAAAATTGTTGGTCAAACGCTCTAGTGATTTATGTTCTGTTGAACATTTGAATTAAAGTTTTAAAGAGGTAAAGTTTTTCTTATTATTGCAACCCTTTTAATTTCTGCATCATACTACAAATTCTAATAAAATTTGATAATTTTAAAAAGTCATGCTATAACAAACTAAAAGGGAAAAGTTAGTTGTTCGTTTAAAGGTGTGACTTTTTTCGAATATTAAATAACAGTTTACAGCATTGTAATGAGTAAAAACTCAAAATTATGAAAAGGTTAAACAGCATTTAAATGGCACTAATTTTATTTTATTTTTTTAAATGTAACGAAAAGATAATAACCTTAAACTTAAATATTTTTCATGTATCTTTCTGCATGCATCAAATGAAATTTTTAAAAATTTTGCTTTTTTATATAATTAAACTTAAAACAAAATGCTCTTTGAAATGCATCATTAACTGAAAATATATGTGATATTTCATATATCTGATTTAATCATAAGACACATAAGTATATACCTATTTTAAAAGCTGAAAAAAATCCAATAAAAGTTAGATATTTTTCTTCAATGAATATGAAATGATAGCAATAGAAACGATTGGAAAAAATCTAAGCCTGCTTGAGATAAGGATTATATTGAGAAATGTTTTTATAACTACAAAATGCATTTCATGTATGTACTGTAGAAACTCCGGATCAAATTAGGGTAAAAGTACTGAAACTGAGGGTAAGGTGCTTTTTACCGTAAAAACTATTTTTACCGTAACATTTTATGGAAAAAAGTCTGATGTACCATAATTTTAACTTTAAAATCACTGAATTCTTGTAATTAAAGAAATATTAATGTAAAAATTATGATATGAAATTTTACAATAAAAACGGATTTTATGTAAAATTGGATTTCACTCAGGTTCGCCAGTACTTTATACAATAATATGATTTTGAATTTTTTTCAGTGTTGTATGCTTATGATGGTATAAATAACAAATCCCTTTTCATTGTTTTGTTTTGGATTTTAAACTTAGAGATTTATACATTAATTGTGAATTATTTTTACTTTAAGGTTTGAGTGGAGATGAATTTCATTTTTCTGAAAATGGTGATGGCCCTGCACGTTATAACATAATTCATTTCAAGCAAGTACAACCAGGATCCTATAAGTGGGTTCGCGTTGGAGAATATTCAGAGGGAGAATTGAAACTCAACATGTCAGTTATCAGGTTCAGACAAGACGAACCTGGAATGCCTACTTCCGTCTGTAGTCTTCCCTGTGGAATGGGTCAGGCGAAAAAGTATGTCGAAGGTGGAAAATGTTGCTGGCACTGCTTCAATTGCACTAAATACCAAATTCTAGTGCAAGAAACTAGTTGCGAAGATTGTCAATTAGGTTATTTGCCAAATGCAGATCACACACGCTGCGAAATTATACCTCTTCAGTACATGCGAATAGACAGTTATTGGGCCATAGGTATTATGTCCTTCTCTTCATTTGGCATCATATTGACCACGTTTGTTATGGTAGTTTTTGTCAAACACAATGACACACCAGTCGTGAAAGCCTCTGGCCGAGAACTAAGCTACGTTTTGCTTTCAGGTATATTTCTCTGCTATGCTATAACATTTTTGTTAGTGCAACGCCCATCGGACTTTAAATGCGGTGCCCAGAAAATGGGTATAGGCTTATGCTTTACTATCGTCTACAGTGCTGTTCTGACGAAAACGAATAGAATTGATAGAATTTTCAGGTCAGGAGCGAAAAGTACGAAACGACCTAGCTTCATAAGCCCGAAATCACAGCTTATTATTTGTGGACTCATAGTAAGCATACAAATAATATTCTCAGCTATGTGGATGGGCTTTAGTCCACCCAAAGCCATACTCTATCATCCAACACCAGATGAGAGTCATTTAGTGTGTGCTGCTTCCATTGATGCAACTTACATGATTGCATTCGCGTATCCGATGATACTAATCCTCATTTGTACAGTCTATGCTATTCTTACGCGGAAAATACCAGAAGCATTCAACGAGTCCAAGTTCATCGGATTCACTATGTATACTACTTGTATAGTGTGGCTAGCATTTATCCCTCTGTACTTTACGACCACTGATCATGACGAAATTAACGTGTTCACCATGTCAGTGACTGTCAGTTTGAGCGCCACCGTGACTCTGTTTTGTCTTTTCACACCAAAACTTTACATAATATTGCTTCATCCAAAGAAAAATGTGAGACAGTCTTTGATGAATACCAGTAAGTTCTCGGTGAACGATAATAACAAGCATGTCTCAAACAAAGTGGAGCGCACAACAATTTCTGAAGGTAAGTTGAATTGTAAATTTTTGTTCAAACATTTTTAAACTGCAGTAGTCTGTATTTAAATTAGCAAGTAAAAGTTCTATTTATTAATTGCGAAGCATTAATAAAAATAAAACACACACCGAATAGTCACTTTGTTAAAAATAGCTGATTGTTTTATGGAGATGTGCAATTGCTACACAGTGTTGCTTTAAAAATTCTAACATACTGTTGGCATGCATTAGAATATTTATTTTGTGTATATGGTAATAGGAATAAGACCTTATTCTCCTAGTATAAGAAATCCAGGAGAATGGCAGTGGGTGCTTTGCATTATTTTTCATCTTAGATTATGTAATTTTCAAGTTTCCATCTGACAGTTCGTCAAGGGAAATAATAAAATAATTGTAGGAATTATGAATGCATGATATTACTTATTCGCACGATGCTTTATTATTACGAAGTAATTTTATTCTTTCATTTTCTTAACCATGTTTATTTTAATTTTAACATGAATATTTTAAACTTTTTTCGAAAATTTATTTATTTATCGAAGATCTGTTATTTATTTTTATCGAAGATGTATGATTTATTTACTTATTATTGATATTATACAGGAATCCCCGCTTTAAGTGAAAGGAATGTTTATTTCAATTTAATTAATTAAAATTTTACTTATTGTTAAAAAAAATAGATAAAAGATAAAATACTGATTTAACTGTTAAGGTAGAATAACATTCAACATTATAAACCCCAAAATTGCAATCAACATTATAAAGGATAGCAATAAGACGTATTTTATTATAATTATGAAAGTATTATTTTAAGGTAAAAGAAGTAGAAGAAACTATTATATTTTAGCAAAATTTATTCAATTTAACGGCATTAATCTATATTATAAGAGTACTGAATTGAAGCATATACCTTTATTTAGTTCTTTATAACAGAAAAATGAGTTTTATTTTATAATACATAAAAATAATCTTTAGCTACATATAAATACATAAAAACAATCTTTAGCTATAGCATAACTAATATTTACTCAATGACAGAAATGTTGAGACTAAATATTAACATCAGTGTCTAATTAGTTATTTATTAAATAATAAAAAGCAGTGCATTAGAAATTATTATATAAAATGCAAGTAAAATTTTGAGCATAAGCATATAGATTATATCGATAGACAAACATTTTTTAATTGACTAAATTCTTGAAAGCATTGATTTGTTTTCCAATTATACCAAATGCTTTAATTGTGGTTTTTTTCATTTAATTTAAATGTTTTAAAATTTTAAATTAATAAAACATTAATTTCGCTATTTTTGAATTCCTCCATGCAAGTACCAATAGAGGTTCTGATTTGCAAAAATAAGGTGATAAATTAACAATAACCATTGTTAATTTATCAAATAAATGCTGTATTTCTGAAAGGGAAATTAAACTTTAAAGAAAATAATAATAATTTATAACCATAACAAAATTCCTATTTATCTCAAAGATTATTATTAAAAATAAATATGAACATTACTGTGTATTTAAACATTTCCACATTGTGTAAAAATGAGCAGCATCTGTAAATATTTACATTAAAAAAATTCTTTCAGCTCTAGTAAAAGAAAACCTTAAGTTATATGCTGCATTTTTGACCATTAGCATAGATACACTCATGTCCATAAATTAAGGATAATTCAGAATCACACGGAAATCAAACTCTAAAATTAAAATTTCACCTGTAGAATTATCACACACATCCTTAAGAAGAATATTCAAATTACAGGAAATCACTAGATGACGCTGGTAGTACGTCACAATGACGAGAGTGTAAGAGAGGGGTATATAAGGAATGGTGGCAAAGAAATAAAATTCTTCACAAGCGCTTTAAAAGCCTTTCAGTGCAATAACCGCATAGTTATGGCACAAGGGAGGCATTTGGATGATTTTTTACGTGGCAGAATCATCGGACGACTGGAACATGGACGTACCCAGCTGGAAGTATCCGAGGAACTTGGAATCACCCAGAGTGTCATCTCCAGGGTTTGGCAACAATTCCAAGATGATGGTAATGTGAGTAGACGTTACAGCACAGGTCGCCCCCGAGTTACAACGCCGAATGAAGACCGGTATTTGGCAGTTACTGCCAAAAGAAACAGACGGAGCACAGCATCAGACCTGTCTCGTCAGCTCTCTTCAGCTACCGGTACGGCGGTTTCAAGGCAGACCGTGTACAGACGCTTAGGGCACATTGGTCTACATGCTCGTAGGCCTGTCAGATGTGTTCCACTTACCGCAACTCACTGTCGCCTGCGATTAGCCTGGAGTAGAGAGCATGCATTGTGGACACCGCAACAGTGGTCTTGTGTGATGTTTTCCGACGAGTCCAGGTTTAGTTTGCAGTCTGATTTTCGCCGGACTTTCATATGGAGAGCGCCGGGTACCCGTTACCACCAAGACAACACCATTGAACGACACCGTTACGGTGGTACTGGTTGGCTCGTTTGGGGAGGAATTATTATTGGTTCCAGAACTGACCTGCATGTTCAGAGTGTAACGATTACAGGCCACATCTATAGGGATGTCATTCTGGAATAACATGTACGTTTGTTTCGGGGCGCCATGGGTGCTAAATTTCTGTTTATGGACGACAACGCCCGTCCTCACCGTGCAAACATTGTAGACAAATGTCTTCAATCGGAGGATATCACCCGTATGGATTGGCCAGCATACTCACCGGACTTGAATCCAATAGAGCATGTGTTGGATATGCTTGGCCGACGAATTGCAGGCCGTCAACCCCCTCCCACCTGTCTACCGGACTTTCGGATGAGTGCTTGATGAGTGGTGTAATATTCCACAGGATCAGATTGATAATTTGATATTCAGCATGCCTAGGCGTTGTACGGCCTGTATTGCATCGTCCGGGAGACATACTCCGTATTAACCATCATACTAACTATGTTATACTGTTTTTTGTAAATAGGTTCTTTTTTGAAATTTGCTCCAGGCAGTAAAAATCGCAATTTTTATTAATTATGTCAAACATATAGCATCTTTTTTGCTCCTTACCTTTTGTTTAATACATAGACTTTACAAATAAGTCAAATTTGTTTGGCTTCTGTCTCTTTCTGTGCCTGAACTTCATTATCCTTAATTTATGGACATGAGTGTATTATAATAATGATGAATAGATGTTTTTCAGTGGACCAGATTTATGAAAACACTGATCCGTTTTAAATTAATACCAAATACATAAATCGTTAACTAATATCTAAATGTATGCTGTTTCTATCCAATATGCAACTGATTTTAATTAAGTAATTACGAGCTAATTGCACATTATTTTAACTTAAAAGGAATTAAATAATTTTTTCGTTGCACTCCTACTTTAGCACTGGTTTTTGTCACAAGTCATGTGATTTCATTTCTAAATAATTCGCGAAATTAGCGAAATACAGCTCAAGAATTTCTAAATCCTCATAAGTGATAGTTTCATTTCCGAATGTGCTTTAAATTAAAAGAAATGTTTTTTAATTGTTTTTCTAATTTTTAGGTTCTTTAGATGCCAATGACTTAAACAGCAAACTCAGCAGCGATTCAAATCCATTGAAAAGATTTTCCAGCTGTGGAACTCAAACATCAAGTGAGACCATAATCACAAGCATGCCCAGATGCATTAGCTGCACAATAATAAGCAACTGTAGAAGAGAGGATTCAACTGCAATACTTTAAATTCTTTGTTGCTCAGTAATGAAATAGAACTTATCAAAATCTCCAAGTGTTGTCTAATGCCGTTGTATCTATATTTATGATTTTTATTTCATTAAAACATTATAAATTGTTTTATCAAAAAATTAAGATTGTATAATAATCAACTGCAATACTTTCAATACTTATTTGCTCAATAATAAAATAGGATTTTATTAAAATCTTCACTTATTCTATAAAATTTTTTAGTTTAGTGTGACGAAGATGGTCGGGCCAGCTGGGAAGACAGGTACAGGACATAAAAAAAGCACAGTAGTATTTATTTAATCTTTATTGTTAAGAAGGCGATCATCTAAGTGACATAAATTGAAGTACTTAAGTGACCGAAAATTTGAAGTGACATAAAAGCGAAATTAAGGAAATTCTTGCAAAAACGTCCCGATGAACTTTTAATTGCAAAAACGAAATTATTATTTATTGCAGCTGATTCAAAAATTGGGCAAAGATATTTCACCATTTCTCAAGCTTGGTTAAGGGAAAAACTTTAAATGTTATTTCTTGCATACTTTAATCTAAATTTAAAACCTAAAGGGAAAATGTAAGAACACGTTTACTTTTCAAAAATAAATTTAGAAGGAAGATTTGCATAAAGAAATAACTTAAAAAGATTAGTTAAAGCATTTTATGTTACATTATATTTAATGTTTTTCTTTTTAAATTTTCTTTTATTTATTATTCAACTATTATTTTTATTATATAATAGTGTTTTATTCATTAATTGATATAACTGTGAAATTTTCGATTCTTTATATCATTTAAGTAAAATTCAATACTTTGCTGCTCAATAATTAAGCAGTATTTCGCAAAATCTAAGAATGCTTTTCAAGTTTGCTGTATTTATATTTAACATTTATTTTCCTTAAAATTTTACGTTTTGTAAATATTTATTTTTTTAAATTTGAATTAATGAAATTAAAAAAGCAACTGGAAAATGAGCAATTATTTGCAATATGATTCTAATAATTTTTTTATACTTTGTTGCACAATATTCAAAACGTAATTTTTGAATATTGAACTCTTTAAAATTTATGTATTATATTTAGCCTTTTTATTTCCATAAGGTATAGTAATTTATTAATTTTTTAAAAAAATCACTGTCCTTAACATAATTAAAATTAAATCCTTAAACATAATTAAAATTACCTTGTAAATTAAAAGATATGCAATGACAACTACATTCAAAGAAGTTCTCTTAATGGAAATAAGTCATACATTTTTAGAGTATTTAAAGTGTAATAATGGGTATTAAAATACTATACCGTTTCTTATGTATTTATTTGTTTTACATTGGTACTAATACAGACTGACAATAACAAAAATTGAAGATTTATTTTTAATTTTGCGCATTTCTTTTTTAATAGGTTTATACATTTCAAAATTTTATTTTATAAAACATTCTTTATTTATTTTCTTACTTTTGCTTTGTCCAAACCACTGAAAACTTTAATAATAAGTAAAGTTACGTTTCCTTTTTGTTTCAAAACCTACTCAATATTTAAATTAAAACATTTATTTAAAATGCATAACTTTTAATAGCATGTATTTTTAACTATCTAGAGCATATAAAAAAGATTCAAGGATTACGAATAGTCTATATTGAATTAAATTAGTAATATTATTTATTAGTCTAGTGCTTAACACTAGAACAACTACCGTTTTCATTTTGGCCACAAAAAGTTAGAGATGAGCTAATTTCTAAAATATTTAGATCAGTTTACTTAGTTTTGTGATTTTTTCCTAACTTTTTGAGGTTTTCAAAAGCATTAAAGAAAAATTGTATTAATTTATATAATAAACGCATTAAAAATTAAATGTTTATTTCAGTTTCCTTACTGGGGCCAAAATGACAGCAGTGAATGTTCTAGTTATGCAAAATATCGGTTGTTCAAATGTTAGAATGTCTTTAAAGTTCTTATAAGTTTTAAATGTTTTTTTCATTAACAAAAATAAAAAATGGTTTACTAATAGTCAATAACATTATTACTACTTTGCTTAAAAATGAATTATTTAAGAGAATTCCTCTTACTATAGGCGGCATCTTGCAACACTTAAATTTATAGGGGAAAAAACTTTGTAAAGATATATACTAAATGCAGTGTTAATTATTTTATCTGCAGTTTAAATTTATTCTTGTAAAAATTTTAAGAACGCCTCACTTAAGAAAGTAATGAATTATTTTCACTTACAAGTTACTTTGTTTACTTTAGAAAGTTAATAATGATACCAAGGCAGTTTCATTTCAACATTTTATGATTTAATTTAATTTTAGAAAAAATTAAATAAAAACGAAGGTATGTTCCTTCTAAGATTCAAAGTAAAGATATAGTAGAGATAAATAGAAGCCACATTTTTCTTTCGTGTTTGACTAATTTTAACTCAAATATAATCGATGGATCAAAATGATTGATTAACTATTTTCGATTTTAAACATAAGCTTGTTAAATATAATATTAGGTTTAAAGGTGTTTTCTCTTAAAATTATTATTTCGCAGCGAAAATTAACAAGTAAGAATTTTCCTTTTCAAACAACGCAATTTCTTGAGGAAAACATGACCAAAAAAAACAACAGATTATTAATAAGCAAGTAATTAAAATACTCTGTCAAACTCACTTAGAAGTATTTGGATTTTTCGCCAAGATGGAAAAAAGGAAAGAGTACAAAAAGTAGAGATGGAAAAGAAAAAGGTTAAATTAATAATTGAAAAATTAGGTAAACAAAAACAAAAAATGAGAAAAATTCTTTTTCGTAATTGTTTCTTACCAAAAGACTGATTAATATTTCCTTTACATTGTTTTTCGTCAACGTTTTATAAAAAATAAACTAATAACATTAAAATTAATATCTCTCCTTATTTACTCTGTATGCTTACCATTTATAAAAACTGGATGGAACTAAAAAAGAAAACAGTAATTAATTTATTAGTAATTGAGGATCACTGTTTTGAAAAGAAAAAACTCTGTTCGGCTTCTCCTTGTGCAAACATTTTTTTTAAGGAAGCTGGTTTTTTGATTTTCTTTTTCTAAATATTATTGATTAGGTAAATTCAAAATTTTTATCAGTTTCATCATATGTTTTAGCATGATTGTGCTATGCGCCAAGAAAAAAAGGACCATCTTGAATAACTTTTGATCTACTGATCGGATCTTCACGTTTTAGGACTTATTCTTAATGGTTCGAGGAGGTGATTTCAAACATGTTAATTATTTAGTGCAGACGATATTTTAATTTATGAAATCAGACACATAAACGTACTTTCTTTAAATGGTTATACCTTTTTTTATTGACGGACTCGAATTTTTGACCCCCAAAATATAGGGGGTAGCCGCAATCTGGTTCAAAATTTCAATCTCTTATATCAATTTTATTTTTTGGGAATTTTGCCATAGCTCGAAAAGTTTTTAAACAAATTGAAAAATTTGTGCACAATATTATAAAATTCGTTTATCCAAAGATAATTCGATACAAAATGTAAGTTTTAGTAAATATTTGTAATTTTTTATTATTTTATTTAATAATGGAGGAAAAAATTCTAAATGGGAAAATATACAGTTTTTCATGGCATTTGAAAGAGAATCGAATTTTCCATGGCAAAATACAAAATTTGAAAAAATCTGTTTAGTTCCTGAGAAATCGAGCTTTAAATATATTACTTTTTTAAAATTTGCTTTCTCAAGAACTATCCAACCAATTTCGCTCAAATTTTGAATTTTGCCAGGTAAAATTAAATACTTTAAAATGACGTAAAAAGTGGTATACCTTAAAATTCAAATTTTTTCGACTGTTATTAAATAAAACAATAAAAAATTTACTAAAAATTACTTTTCGCATAGTATTATCTTTGGATACATGAATTTTATATGAGAGTGTAAAAATTTTTCAATTCGCTTAAGAAGTTCTTGAGATATAGTTAAATACGCAAAAAGATAAAATTAACATTAAGGGGTCAAAATTTTGCACAGCTCTCCTGATCAAACTATTAGGATCACATTTATCCCAGATTGCAGCTACTCCCAATAATTAAGGGGTCAGAAATCTGAATACGTCGAGAAAAAGGTATGTTTATTCAGAGAAAGTAAGTTTTTTTGTGTCTGATTTGGTAACTTTAAAAATAGTCTGCACTAAATAATAAGGATATTTGAATTCTCTCGAATTATTAAGAATCAGTCCTATTACGTGAAGATCAGATCATTACTTCAAAAGATAGGTTGGTCCATTTTTGTTTTGCGCTCAGTACATTTGCAACAATGAATATTTGTTTTCTCGTAGAATAATGAGAATATTTTACTGGTACATTTAAATTATTAAATAATAAAATTTAAGTTTAAAAAAAATCAACCAGTTGAAAAACTATGGTTTAATTTTACACAATTTTAAAAGCATTGTTTCAATAATCAAATGCTAATACTGTGTCTTAAGTAAATAAACTATAATTACCAAGTGAATAAGTTATCAATTTTGTTATCATTTTTTTTTTAAATTTAGCATGTCTTGAAACATTATGTTTCAGTTGATCCGAAAAAGAACATAACTAAATAGAGTTGAGCATTTCAGAAATGCTAACTCAATTATTTTAGTATTACATAAATATTTAAATAATTTAATAAAACATATATATTTTTTTTGTTTAAGGGACAGGAAATAACTGTTGAATAAGCTTGAGAAATTGCCCTTAGAAAATCTTTTTAGCTTTTTAATACAATATATCTTTGAAAAAAAAAACTAATTCTTAGGTATATTTAAAGAAAATTATACAGGTGGCACGTTATTAAAAGTGAAGAATTTGGTATTATTTAATATTAAGTGCGTTAAAAAAAGCCTGAGATTGTATGAATAAACACTTTACATTTAAAAAACACAGAATCAAACATTCTTTTTCTCCTAAATGGCGTAAGCCTATTTCTGTTTGCGACAAACACCAATAATGTACCGTCATTACCCACACAGACACTTTGGTCACAAGCAATATACTACTGTAAAATAAATAAAAAAACTTTGTAAGTGCAACTCCTTCATACAGCACCACTTCGACTGTTTAATTGCACGGAATTATACACCTTTTACAAATTATTTTCGATTTCCAAAAAGCCACGTTTTTCGAATGTTTGGAAAAACTCTCCCATGGAAGCTTTGTTTTTATCCAAAATGCTCAGATTTCCGAGATATTGTATCAGTTTTTTGGCAACCTGATTGTGGTTGGCACTGGTTGATTAGGGACCGAAGTGCTCGCTTTCGGTGCAGGTTACTCTAGGTTCGAACCCAGTACGTGAAGCTCAGTACATATTGATCTGCACTCCCAGTTGTCTTTTATTTTTAGCCCTAAGTT